TTTTTCTGAACTGCATGAGATATATTAGCTAAGTAATATGTTAACTGAATAAAATGTTTAAACTGTAAGTTGAAATTTGGTAGTACTCAATTTTTTAAAAAGGTACTCATATAAGTTTATAGATTTATAAATTTAGAAGCAATGCATTTAAGTAATCAACTTGTCAAGACTTTTCAAAATCAGTCTTAAAAATTATGATTATCAGTATGGTGTAGTGACTAAGTAAAAACTGAAAACTTGAGTTATATATTTTTTCCAGCTCTGCCATAAAGCGACTGTGAAGCTCTATGCAATCCCTTCACCACGCTGTACTGTTTCCTCAAATTTAGGCACAGAACCACAAGTTTCCCAAAGACCCAACTAAGACACCAAATAGACAAGAAGAGATGTATAGATGTATAAAGGTTACTTTGAAAACGCAAACAAAAACTAAATTAAGAACATTACTGACAAACATGACTTACCCCAGTAATTATTTAGCAACCTGAACTACTTAGTGACCTATGTACCATTCATATGACTCTCTGAAAGGTTTGGATGACTAACATCGATATGCTTAAAGACTAGACAAGTAGCTAAGATATTGATAAGACAGCAAAATTTTGGCAAAAAAACAGGCAATTTGATTTCAAAGGTAAAATCAATATTTTTACTGGTGTGCTAATGTGAAAGCAGAACTGCGGGCTCTGCTTGTCACATGCTTACTTCATTCTTCCTTTTCAGTTACCTTTGCTGCTAATCTAGATCAGCCTTGACTTCTCAAGTCTGTACTCCTATGAGACTTCCTAGTGGATCTCCCCACCTCCAGCAGCTCATACGGCACAGGTGATAAACATCTGATAACCATTCCTGAGATTAAATATATGCAATGACTCCACTGTAAACTGATTTTCCTTAGTTTATACTCAAGGACCGCTCCAGTTTTAGCACAACTTTTTTTTTTTCAGCTTTATCTCACAATATTCTTCTCCCCCACTCCTCTACCACAGGGCCACATCAGGCCTACCTACTGTTCCCTAATGTTCACTAGGCCTTCCCACCTTTATGACATCTCTTGACCCTTTCCTCTTCCTCCAAATGAGGCCCAGCTGAAATGCTGCTGCTGCTTTGCCTTCAATGTAGCTTGAACCTCCAAACGTTCAGGAAATGTTTTTTATGTGCTAGAAACAGTGGAAGATGAAAAGATGAGGAAGCCCTTAAGGAGCTTATTAAAAGAGCAGGAAAAAAATAGACAAGCTCATAAATTATAACATCCTAGAAGGCTACAGACTAGTCAAGATCTTTCAACTTGTCTTTCTGCAGTACTTGACTTAAAAACAAAAATACTTCTCATCTCTTGGGTAAATTTTGCCATTTATACAACTCTACTATTTATTCTAAAGTAGCCCATTCTAAAGTAGAATAACAATCAAAAGTAGGGTAATATTAATAAAGTTAGAAAACATCATTGCTTTTTGCTTAGTCTCTTAGAACATAGACAAGTACCTAAGAAATATGGTAAATTATAGTTCATGACTTTTCTCTACTGAAAGCTGAGAGGTTACCTGGTTCTTTTAGTTTTTCCATAAAATATACTTAGGCTAGCATAATGTTAACTTCCTCATAAAAAAAACCTCAGCCCTCACTGCTGCTCTCTGAAAACCATAATATTCTTTATTTGGCATACAGATGTTCAGGCTCAGAAAGTTTCCAATATATGTTACACTTACCATATGCTATTCAAGGTTAGGATCATTGTAACCATTTTTCTCTCCCATATATCCTAGTTTTATTTTTATTTATTTATTTTATTATTATTTATACCTAAGCACCTGGTCTTCCTAGGAGTTCTTCCATCCAAGTACTAACCAGGCCCGACCCTGCTTAGCTTTCGAGATCAGACATCGGGCTTGTTCAGGGTGGCATGGCTGTAGACCATGGACTGTGCTTCCACTGGGGCACAAACCCAGAACCTTCTGCATGTAAAGCAGATGTGTTAACCACTACACTATGGAAGCACAACCTATCCTACAGTTTTAGAAATGCAAATGTTACTATAACCAAATTTTACAGAGGAAAAAAATTTAAATCAATCATTCTCATTTCTATTACAATTCAGACCATATTTTTAAAAAATCTTGTGTTCATAGACTGATGATATTAAAAAAAAAACTATAAATTAAGGGGAATGATCCCCTCAACTTTCTGCACCTGAGGTTCACCCCTCTCAAAAACATAAAAATAAATAAAACCTGGCCTTAGAATGCCAAATTCTTTTAAGTTTACATTTTCCCAGGACTTGGTGCCATGATTAATCATATACTTGATCATATTAATACCACTCAGAAACGTTTTAGAAATTGTCATCACATATAGAAATTACACATTTGTCTTCAGCCAGAAACTGACTTAGAGTATTCATGAAAAACTTTAATGAAACAGTGTAAATTATAAAACAAAAGAAAGTTTTAAATCTAAGTGAAAGATATGCAGAGGAAATGAAAAATGGGGCTGCACACAGGTGGTTTACTGAACAGTGACTGTCTCTTTTTTCCCAGCATATATATAAGCACCTGCAAGAGGTGATAACTTTAAAGACTCTCCAGTTTTGTAGTGTTCATGACTGCAAATTAAAACATTGCATATCAAAAAACTACCACTTTGTTTTCCAAAGATAATTTAGGATACTGAAGGAAAAAAAAGCTAATTTTATCTCTAAATGTGTACGCAGTATGTGTTGGCTAACAAAACAGAATCAGACTAGGTCATTATAGAAGTGGGGAATAAAATTGTCCTTAAATTATGAACTTGTCAAACAGTAAATGTTCACGTCCCTATCGTTCTGGGTAGGAGAACCACAGGTAATTATTAGCTGAAATATGACAGAGGACAGATTTGTTTAAGGGTTAAGTGAAAGTCTGGAAGCTTTGTTCTAATAGCTGTGTAACTGCTCTTTAACAATGAATTGTTTTTTAATAAGGAAACAAGTCTTAAGAGTTACATCTACAAGAGCTCCATTTACTAATTCAAATATATTCAGATTTTCTTGCTGTTTCTCGTATCTTAAGGAAATAAATAAAAAGGACAGGACACTGAAAGGGGAAAAGACAAACAGTACCCACACACGCATCTTGGAAACAGTTGTTCAGCTTTGTGACTAGATTTTTTAGAACCTTCCCTACAGTGTCCCTGGACAAGTCCTGGGAAAGGGAAGTCTCTGGTCGTTTCAGAGCCAGCCAGGGAGAGAAGCGAGGAGTCGGGGTTCCTCCTTTATCCAGCCCCGCCGGTGCCAGCCCTGCCGAGCGGACCCTCGCCTTCGCGTCCTTTCCTTCCTGCACTGGGGCGCGTGCTCGCTCCCCACTCGGCCCCAGTGTCCCTGAGCCTGGAAGACAGGAGTCAGGCGCCCGGGCTCCATCCGCCCCTTTCGGCCTACGTGCCTGGACGACCCTTCTCTTGTAGCCCAGTTCCAAAGCAAAAGTGGTCGGAACGGGTGAAAACCTCCGTAATCTCCAAGCACCCCTCGCCGCTGCCGAGTCCCTGCCCAGCTCCTCACACCCACCTGCCTCCGCCCGCGGCCCCCGCACCAGCTCCCGCGGCCCCGCCGCCGCCGCCGCCACCAGCTCCGGTTCCCGGTCGCAGCGCCATTTTGCTCCGGGCGTGATGCCGCTGCTGCTGCCGCTGCTGCTGCCACTGCCGCCGCCGCCGCCCAAGCTCTGTCAGCTGAAGAAGCCTCTTCCGGGGCAAACGCCAGACCCCACCTCCGGGCCGACTGGGGAGCAGGGCGGGGCCGTACGCCCACGTGACCCCCGCATCCCGGGGCGCTCCCGTCACGTTACCCTGCCGCCGCCGAGGTCCTGCGTGCAATTCTAGTTCTGGAGCAGGTTGGGGCGGTCTCTGGGCTCCGCTGCGGGGAAACGGATTAATCTTCTGGGAAGGTCCTTGGGCCCAGCCGGCGGCCTTGCTGCAAGGCGTCGTCGTCCCTCCACTTGAAAAACCATCATCTCTGTTAGCGGAAAGAATAGATTGAGTTCTTTTATTGTTACCTTTTACACAAAAGAGTAGATGGCTCCTGAATGCCCCTTTGATAGCTTCACGGCACCGATTAATGATCAGCACTTTTTCCCCGGAGCTCAACAGCTTTCTTTTGGTATCCACCCGCAAAGCTGAAGGTATTTAAAATTTATTTTAGTAGATTAACAACTTCATCCGCATAGAAAACCTCCACTGTGCACAACTCTTGCATTTGCTCCTGCCATCCAGTAATCCGTTTTTTTCCTATGTAGGCATACTTCAGATAGTGCGGGTGCAGTTCCAGACCACTCAATAAAGCAAGTCCTAATCTTATTGCTAGTGGATGGTCTTGCTTCCAATTCGTAAAAAATGCAATATCTGTAAAGCGTAGTAAAACCAAGCTCAATAAAAGGAGGTACTTGCCAGCAGAGGCAAAACTGGTGTTTGGAAAGCAGTCTGTAATTACCACGAACCCATCTATACATTTTTACTGGGATTCTTTTCCAAATCAAACTACTGTTAGTAAAATAAAAAAGTTGAATGTAAATTTTTTTTAAGTCCTCAAGCAGTTTGCTTACTAGCAAATAATGGTTTATAATTAGCTTTATTTTTCACTCTTGCTTCAGAGTTTTCACAAGTTTTAATCAGCTATTTTATCATTTATTGGACACAAAGCACTGGTCAGGAACTTTACTGTATTTTTTCAAATCCGTCCCCTTAATAGTGTTGGTATTTTACAGATGAGAAAATCAAGGTTAAAAGAAACTGTAATTTGCCTACATTCATACAGCTGCAAAGCAGCAGGACCAAGATTCAAAACCAGGTGTTTGACTTCAAAGTCCTTACTCATGTCAGTAGAACCAGCTATTCAATTATCATGCGTGTTTTTCATAATTGTCTACTAATTTCATTCCTTCCCTTCTTTAGGTGAAACTGATGTTTATGTAGATTGTTCCAACTGATATAAAGGTGTAAAACACAGTTATTAGTCCATTAACAATCCAAGTTGATTACAGGTTTATGTAGCCACTTTTATTTACAGATGGGTGGTCACACAGGAGAAAATACGAAAAAGGAGGAAGTCAAATGTAGGGAGTTTATTAAGGATCATAGATCTGTTTGTCTGGGAGAGTTTGTTCTCTTTTGCCTACTGATTCTTACATCTGCAGGACTCAGCTCAGGATGTCAGCCTTTCACGACATTACCAGTATGGATTAGATGCCCTCCTGTGATGCTTCAGCATCATAGCCTTATGTCTAACACAGCATTTGCCACACTATTTGTTCCTTTATCCCCACCACTACACAGTAAGGGTAGGGACTGTGTTATCAAGCCTTGTATTCCTAACCAAATATTATGTTTAAGGACTATCTGTTGTGAATTTACATGTTAGGAATAGTGCTAAGTACTTCTAATCTTGAGACATAATTGGCATTACCCCCAACTTCATAAATGAAAAAAAAAAAACAAGCTCTGAGAAATTAAAGAACTTATTCAAAGTCATATGCTGGCAAATGAGTGGCAGCAATACCCCTACCTTCAGAATATATCTTGAGTCAGGGATCTGCTTGTAAAAACTAAAAAACCCACATGCTTGTATTTTTTGCACCTTGTAGCAAGTGGTCTCTATTTTTGTAAATTCTGAAGATGGAACAATTTTTGTTCTATCTACAATATTCAAGTTGGGCATCTACCTGTCCTGACTTTAGAGTAAAAGGCTGAGAATAAAGGAAATGTTTAATTCAAATGCTGCTGAGAAAACATTATCTTATAGGACTGTAGTACTGTTGATAATAAAAATTAATGTTCATGTCAGGTGTCAATCTAAGTACCTTACATTATAGTTATTTTTTATTCCACTGTATAAAACTATCAACTGAGAAAAATCTGCTAATAGCGAATAGTCTCCATCATGATCCTTTACCTTTGGCAGAGACCTGCTTACTAAATGGATAAAGGGCCATAAAGCCTCAGGAAAGATAAACTATAAGAAAAAGGAGCCAGAGGTATATCAAGTAACGGGAACATTCTTCCTTATCAGGATAAAACGTTTATCAGTTTTCACACAAAGTCATCTTGAATGGAAAGAGACAAGAAAGAGCACAGTGAAATGGAAAATGAAAGGAAAAGGCTGACCACATCTTGTAGTTACAACATTATGACAGGGAAGGCATGAGCTACCTTGCTGATGAGATATAAGAGTATTTAATAGACCAAAGAATTTAAAAACCTAGAGTACTTAAATAACCAGCCACAGATGAGGCATCTCTTTTTTGTGGCTCATACCACAAAAGGCCAACAAGAAATTAAGTTAAATAAGAGCAGTAGGTTTCTTCTTGGTAGATAGCCTGTGCGGCTTCTTGTCCATTCAAAAAAAAAAAAAAAAAAAAAAGGCGCAGGGTGGAGGAAGTGGCATTCAATTTCAAGGCTTACTCTGAAATTTGGTTCCAGATGTTTCTCCATAGCATACATCACACATTCCTTCACACTTGAAAGGAAAAATCCTTAAGAATTCACCATATTTTGGGTGTTGTTATTTTTAGTATAAGCTTTGTTCTTCTATAAGAAGTATCTTTCTAGTTTCAAACCACAGAAATGTCAATGAATGTTCTTTTCATTGTGTTATCATTTAAAAGTCACAGCCACCTACAATTGAAATTTGACATAATGCACAGAAAGTTTATAATTTTTTACCAGTCCCATATTCTTGTAGTTGATTTCAAGTGTTTGATACAGGTGATTTTAAGATGAAATGTTCCGTGAAAACAACATTCATGCTGGGATGATAAAATTACATTTCTGATACAGTCTTTTAAAAACTCTATTTTTAACTTTTGTCTTCAAGAGCTACTTTCTTCTGGCTGTTCTGAGCAGTGAGCTTTTTCCTGTGACAAGGAAAGTAAGGAAAGTTAAATCAGAAATTCTAGAAATACGTACTTTCCAAGTCTACTAGTTTAATAAACACTTATTGAAATCTACTGTATAATCAAATATATGAGGCATTAGGTCTCTGCCCTTTAGAAAAACCACAAATATCTAAGGGACACAGAAAGATCACAATAAACTACACTACACTACAATATTCTGACACTGACCTAATAGAGTTCATGCTGATTAATGGCTAATACTATTATAGGTGCTTTATATGTATCACCTTGGATAATCTGCCTAATTTATGAAGAAGATTGTATTATTAAATGCATTTTACAGATAAGGAAAATGAAGCAGGGTGATGGGCAACTTGCTGATCACACACTGGTAATAAATATGAGACATGAACCCCAATGGTCTGATTTTTTAGAGTTCAGTAAATGGTGACTGCCATCAACTACGTGTCAACACAGGAAAAGAAAAGTTAATAATCGATGTTTACATATCATAGTATAGTAATGCCAAGTTCTCAATGTTATTACTCGTTTAATCCTCAAACAACCTTGAATGGCAGAGTTAGTATTATTTTCAGATTTATAGCTCATTTGGGAAGCTGGACCTGAAGATATAAATGTGAGAGTTATCAACATAGAGGCATGAGGCTACAGGTGTGGATCGAATCATTAAATGAACATCTATATTGGAAAGGTAAACCACAATCAGATTAGCTCTCGTTTGTACGCTATGTTAAGAAGTATGGCCTTTAAATGTGAAGAAAATGGAGAGCATTTTACATAGGAGTCTAGAGAGAAAATATATAACACGTGTCCTCAAAGTCTCAGTGCAGCTTTAAGTTTTAATAACCTCACAAGTATAAATGCTACAAACTGACAAAAATCAACATTTAAAATGTAATTATCTAAAAAACTAATGTTTCTTATTAAAATTCAACATAGCTACCATCTTATGCTCTGAGTTTCAACCTTTGTAAAAACTTCCATTAGCTGTTGCTCAGGGCCTGAAAGGATTGCATTTGCAATGCTAGCTTTAATGTTACCCAAAGAACGAGGTTCTAATGCATGTACAGCAGTTCTGATGTGGCCCACCAACAGAAAGAGTCTAACGAGACAGATCAGGTGGCCAAGCAGAGTGCCCTTCTCTACCAATCCCGTGGTCTAAGTGTTACCCAGAAACTTGCCACAAAAAATTAAAATAAAAAATGTATTAAGAACTCACAAACTAAATACAAATGAAATTCAAAAGATTACTCTTTCGAATGACATTTTTTGTAAGTTTGTAGCACTTATTCTTCCCAAGTTATTAAAGTTTAAAACTAATTAAAACTTTGAGACACTCTGTACTCTCTATATACTTGAGCTGAACATTATTTCCCACAGTCAATACACAATGTTAGGTGTTCTACCTCCTTGAAACTTTCTGTGACTATACCAAGCCATAATGACTTTTCCTTTCTCTAAACTATTTTATTTAAAAATTATTCCCTAATTTTTGTCTTGTATACTAATATCCTTTCCTTAACTCAGGAAATGGGTCTCACGCTATAGTCATTTGTATAACAAACTACCATCAAGTATGTGGCAGGGCAATGGGTACTCAGTAAATGCCTATATTTCATATATATTAACTGGCTAAGTGGATTTTGAAGAGTGTTATTTTCCATAAATAGTGGGAAGAGTTGTACTGTTCAGAATACGTAAGCCTGCTCTTATCAAAATATGTAGCTTCCTAGCAGTACTAGGCAAAATTAGTCTTGTATATATCCTAAAAAATCTGTATTTTAAAATCCTCATAAAACTCAGCTAAACTACTACAAATTTAACCAAGTCATACTTTTTAGAGGTGTTACAATGTGCTTCAGCATAAGTCTAAAAATATACCAAAATCCTGCCCAGAATATGGAGATTCAAGTAAGGCTCCATCAATGTGAGTCCTAACTATTGGCCTCAGTAGTTATGTCCTCATGTAGGCTGTGTGGAGAAGGTGGGCAGTGCAATTCTAATTCATAGTGAATTAAAATCATATTTTCAGAGATGGAAAAAAAACAGATCATTGATATACAGATACAGAAAAATTCCAAAATGAATCATCCAAGTTCCCAAATCACAGCCACCCTAAGATATATTACTTTAACTACATTCTGTAACGAACCGTAGGCCTATCAATTCTACTTCCAAAAACTTACCGTAAGGAAAAATAATGCCTCCTAAAACTGATGGAGTCAGTTACTTTTCTCACATGCACTTACCGTTTATCCTTAGCTTTTTCTAAGAAATATTTTGGAGTTGTACTAATGCTTTCCCTTTTCAATGGCTTCTTAATCATCTTTTTCTTTTGTTTGCTGAAAGTTACAAAGTAAAAAAGGAAAGAATTAAATTTAGTGTAATTAATTTAAAAGAGCTAAAACTAAAACAAGTTTTGATTCTCGATCATAAAATTTTTTATCCACATATCAGTTAACAGTGACAGCATATCCATTTTAATATCCTACGTTACTAATAGCATTTAGAAAGGTAATCCAAAGGGATGATAAATTTAATCAATTTTTTAAATGAAAAAAGCAGTGATTATGAGTGAAATATGTCTTGTATCAACCTCATATCCTGTGCCAACAAGCATTAGAATTTTGGCCAATTAACTGATTTTTACCAGTTTTATAAACTAAAATAAAATCTAAACATATTTCATTCACATTAAATAATTTTTAAAAAATGTGAATACTTAAAATTTCAAGGAAAGAACAAAGTATTCACAAATATTTAAAAGGAAAATCTGTAGCTTAAAATGTTCTAACAGTATTTATTAGAACTATAAAGTATAAGAGCATAAAAGCAAGTATATGGAAAGAGATAAAGATAGAATCTCCAGGTAAATTCAAGACTGTACCTTAGTAGTTTTTGGAAACCTTTTATGTATTCTGGTACAGGACATCCGGCCTGCTGTATAACATTGGCAACGCTGAAAAACGTACCCATAGACATAAATTTGTATCTTATCAAACTGATGTTTATGAACTTAAACCCACTGCACAATACAAGAGGAACTAAAACTACACAAACGAAAAAGTAATCCAATAAAGTGTTTTGATATATTATCAATTATCACCAGATGCAATCACATTGGATTACTGATCTGCTGGACTAAAATAAATGAACTGATGAGCCAGAGTCAAGCATAAATTTATTAAATGATAGTGCTTACTACAGGCTTGGCATTGTTTTAAGCTTTTCATGTATAATAACTTATTCAATCCTCACAACAAACCTTTGCAGTAAATACTCCAAATACTCATTATCTCCATTTCCCAGATGCAAAACTGAAGTACATAGTTACACTAATATGAGAGTCATCAGTTTCAAATGCTTGGAGTTGCTGGGGAGACTTTAGGTGAATCTAAACTTTTGAAAATACATCCCTACACATATACACGTGAAAGTGCTAAAAGTAAAACCAAGGCTGACAGAGCCAAGGCTCAGAAGGCACAAATCAAAATCTCTGCCAAAACTGATAAACGGAACAAAGGACAAGTGCTTTTGGCCATAACTCAATTTTGATTATAGAAATGTGACGTGTTATCAATTATCAGCCTAAATTTTCTGTAGGCAGCCAACGTGTAGGACACTTTTTTATTAAAATCTATGACGATGAACTAAATTAAGACCCATGATTCTAAAAGTATATCTATCATATGTTATCCAGGCTTCAAGGGGCTACGATTGAATAATACTGGAGTCTGTCACTAAAATAGTTTTTCCTGGTACTAAACTCCATCTGCCCCTAAGAGTAATGGGAATGATGTACCATGGTAAGATATAATTTTGACTGGACTGAAGAGACTCAGGAGTTAACTTTAAACTATTCACTCATCCAAAAACCTTAATGTTACATTGTGAGTAACATCAACTGTGGCTACTGGGAAAATTCTGTAAGTCTGAAACTTAATGAATATTCCCAAATTCTAATAATGAAAAGGCAAAAACAAGTCTTTTTGATCATTTCTTCTTTTTCACATGGCTAAAATTTGGTTGACTAATAACATAACAGAATTTGGGACATAGCCTAAATGTATACATGTATAAGAATAATGAATCAATTTTGTCAATTTAATACTAAATGATTTTTCCTAATTTACCTTCTTAATAATGGTTTATCATCTTCAGTGAAAAATGTAACAGCTTTTCCTTTATGGCCTGCTCTTCCAGTGCGACCTAAGAGAAATCAGACCACAAAAAAACACTTTGGGGCAAGGGAAGGCATCTTCAAGATTCATATAAAAGTTGCTGGATTTTCACAGCACTAAAAAATGAGCATGTTTGTAGAGAAGAGTAGAGGTGCTAAGATGGATGAGTCGTGAGGCAGGGGACAACTCACCTATCCTGTGGATATATTCCACTGAGCTGGTTGGAAAGTCATAGTTGATTACCAAGTTCACACCTTTAAAATCAATTCCTCTGGCTAGCAAGGCTGTACAAATAAGGACCCAGATTTTTCCTGCTCTGAAACTGTGGACTGTGTTATCTCTCTGGTTAATAGAACATATATTAAATGTTTTAGTACAACTTTAGGAATGCAAAATAAGTACTTTTTAAGTTTAATACCAATATTTTAAAATTTAGTTTTATCATTTCGAAAGTATACATTTGACTTTACCTGTTGCTGTGTTCTGTCTGCATGAATAACATCCACGTTAATACCTTCATATATGAGCTCATGAAAAAGTTCCTTAGCCCTTTCAATGGACTGAACAAAAACAAGAACAGGTGGAGTGAAACCCTAAAAGACAAAAATAAGCACACATAACCCATAATCAAAAATATAATCGCAGAATTTCATGATTTTAGTTCATAAAAGAACGCAATTCATTTAGTGTACTTTCATTGCCAAATTCCTTGGACCAGTGTTCTAAATCTGTCTTCTTCATCATCCATTCCCTATAAGTTCTTTCTATGCAACTTGAACTGTACTCTCCATCTTGCTAATTCCAATAATTGTGTCTAATTAACCTCCTTTCCCTTTCTTTAGCGATGGACACCTACTCCTTGAAACAATAATCTCTTGGCTTCCATGCCTCAGAACTGTTTTGATTCTGCTTAAAATGTGATGACCTTAATGGCACCATTATAACTACATGAATGTTTAAGAAAAACACTCTATTGCCTTTTATGGACCTTTATCATAAACTACACAGTATGTTTATTTTACACGAATATATTTTAGCCTCTAAAAAAGACTAAATTCCAGGGGCAGTGCTTAGGATTTACATTTCTTTTCTTACCCACAACCCTGACCATTTAGTACTTAACCTTTTAACTACGGCTTCTACTCAATATTTACTAAAGGGCTACAAAGAGAAAACCCTAGTCAGTGTCCTGCTCATTCTACATTGCCCCAGTTCTGTAAGAAACCAGTAAAGGGGTGGGGGTAGATACAGGGGGCAGATGCATATACAGATGTGGAAAAAGGAGGCTTTACAGCATCAGGTAGGGCTTTCCCTAGACTAATCTGAGCTGAGAAAAGAAAACTTACTGTATTCTAATAGGTGAGCCTCTCCCCCTTGGGACGAGAGTTGGCCCAATGTGCGTCTTAACAATTTACCATTGGATTACTAAATATGATGCAGGAATTGTGCTCAGCCTCCTACCAGTAATATCAGGCTTGGTGAACTTTCTCAAAATTCAAGAATGTATTCCAAATATACCTTTTTAATAAGTTCTCTCATGGCTAGAAGTTTTCCAGTCTCGGACCCAACAAAGAGAAGCTCTTGTTCTACAGTCTCTACTGCAGAATTCCTGAGAAGAAAACATACCTTACAGTTTTTAACAGCCAATTCTTAACCCCCACAAAACCTAAATACATGAAATAATTTACATGCAACAGAATGAACATTTTCACTGTCAATATATAAGTACTTAATTATATTTTAACTTGAAGATGGTTATTTTAAAATGTTTTATTCCACTTACAAAAATGTTATCTCAAGGAAATTTGAAAAATACAAACAATAAATTTCTCACAATTCTATCATTTTAGGATAAATTTTGACATTTTGTTGTGTTCTAGTCATAAATTTTCACGTTTAATTATTTACTTACAAAATATTTCTCAAAGTAAAATTGGATAAAATAATGAGAACATTTTTAAGGTTATTCATATGGCTAAATTTTTTTTATTAATGATTAGCAAGGGTTTATCTAGAGACAGACAGTTGGGGGTAAGATATCTTAAGGCTTTATTAACACTCTATAAGCTGCTGTGATACATTATACTACGTCATATTTTTTCCTTTCTGTTGTCTGTCTTTATATTTATCATGAATTTGTTCTATTTTCTTTTTATACACAGGAGTTAAATTTAAAGTAGACAGGGTATTCTTCACTCTTCCATTTGGCTTCTTTTTAACTTAACATAGTATCACAGCACTTTTTCCTATAGCTAGTTTTCATACTTATCATTTCATGGGTTGTACAATATTCTACCAAGTGGCAATATCATCATTTCCAAAACTTTTTCTACAATTGAGCATTCTTTTAGCATAAAATGCTCCCCAAAATATTTTTAATAGGAATTATATAAATCAAGCTGCTCAATAACATCAGTTTCCTCCTCTGTGTAGTTCAGACATCAAAGAAACTAAATCCTCTAGGTGGCCACAGAACTCATGCCATACTTTGTGGATGGGAAAAATCAACTATAAGCATGATGATGGGAATACTAATATGACAATATGAAAATCTCCCCTTGGGATATTCTAATACAGGAAATTCTTAATCAATCTTAACTTTAAAGAATACTTTCTTTCCGTTTCTTACAGTAAAATTCTCTCCATTATTCTTAGGCCAAAAAACCTATCTCCTTGAGTCTAAAAATAAAATGACTTGTATTTAAGAAAATAATCAGTGAGATAATGAGGAAAAGCAATTACCTTGCTCCAATGGATACAGTAATAACATTGTCCAGGTTGAGTTTGCACCACTGCTCAACATCATATGCAAAAGTTGCACTGAACATAGCTCTTCTGACCTTGTGGGATGTGCAGGCCAGGAAAATGGAAGCCAGCTGGTCTCTGAACCCAGTTTTGCCATCTTCAAACAGTTTATCTGATTCATCTACTACCAGCCATTCAACACTAAGAAATAACAAAACAACTTGTAGGTATTGAACAGGAAGATCCAAGACACTTTACTGAACTATGAGGACACATGAAGAAGTCAAACCATACCACAAAAAGGTTCAAGAAAAAGGTAAAAAGATAAACATAAATTAGTGTACCTATTCCATTAGCCCCAAAGACATGAGGTTTCATTAGCAACAACAGAGCTCATAAATTTTATAAACGTCACTATTGCTGAAAGACATTAAAGAAGTCTAAAGGAATTCTGTACTAACTGCTCAGCAGAATCTGTAACTTCTAAACCAGAGAGTTATTTTTCTGTGAGTTTAATGAAAACCATTATTCTCAACACCAACACTTAACTGAGAGCCGGCAGATAGCAAGCTCTAAAGGGCAGTAATATAAGCACTTGACAACAAAACATAATCGTCTAAATGAAAAACACTCATGGAAGACATTAAAATATTATCTGTACCTTGTTAAGTCTATTCCTGGAGGATCTTGCTTTAATAAATAGATTAGTCGATTTGGAGTGGTCACAAGAATATCTATAGGGAAAACAAATGGTATAAATTGCAAACACAAGATTCATCCTTCTTGAACTAGAGAATTAAGCCTCCTAAATTTGTAAATAACCTGAAGTGGAGAGAGGAGGGAGTGGTTACACTCACTACACACAAACTACATAAAAGTTCTTGTCAGTAAGCTAAAACACGTATTTTTCTTTTATCCATCATAGCACAAATTAGTATATCCCTATTCTATTATTACATTTGATCTGTTCAGCTTCTAAGAGGCAAGGACACTATAAATCAACAATATAATTTTCAAACTTTTTTTCTTCCAGAAAAATCCTTTTTTAAATGAAATTTTATTCATAAGCTCAAGATAAGACAGGTAAAAGCAGATTCTCTGGCTGATGTAAGGGTAGGATGTAAGCTATTCTTGTCTGCAGAGTATTTCCACAGCAGGTTAAAAATCAATAGTGTAAAGTAAAGGAGGGTTTCTCAACCTCAGCACTATTCACGTTTTTAGTCCAGACAACTCTTCGTTGTAGGAGGCTGTCTTGTACATTGTAGGATGTTTAACAGCATCCCCGCTACAGATTAGTATCACCCCTCCCCATTTTTGACAACTTAAAATGTCTCTAGATATTGCCAAATGTCCCTGGGGTGGAGGGGGGTGGAAGTGGGGGGAGGCAAAACTGCTTTTGGTTGAGAACCACTGGTATATATTTATAATAACTACTGGGTGAGAGTGGGGCTATCTCTTTTCGCTTAAGAGTCAAATTATATGCAATGACTACACTAAGAATTCTTAGATGGCAATTAGCATATCTGTAATTTCCAAATCCCCTTCATGTTCTAACATTGCAAGCATGAATCTCTTACCAAACTTCTTAGATGATTTTGGTCCAAATTTCTTGGCTGCAACTGCTGCTTTGTGGATCATGTGTATCCTGAATCCTGTTCCCTCAGATATTTTTACTAACTCTCGGTGAATCTAAAACAGAAAATGATAAAAACATAGCTACTAAAATACTTAGATTATATAGTCTTTTACATTATTAATAAAATAAATCCTTTACAAATTCATGAATATTTGAAATTAAACCTGTAATAATCTGTAGATTGACTTGCATTTCAGCATTTTGCAACTTCAATGCCTAATAAGATTCGGTAGTTTCTTCAGGTCTAGTAAACTAGTTTTAAGAGATAAAATCCAAACTCTTACAATCTGTTACATATTGTTTTTAGAATAAAGAACTATTGTAAAACTATTTCATACTTGGCACGTATTTTATATTAAGCACATTGGGAGGGAGAGTGCAGCAGATCATTGTGTAGTTTTACTTTCTCAAAAACTGAGATGAAGTTTCATTTTTCTAGGTGAGAAAATAAATTTTAGAAAAACTATATATTACCATAGCCTTTTAACTTCAATGATCCTAAAATATTCACCAAAGAAGTATAAATGTTAAAATGTTTTAGAAAATTATAAAATATTTGCCTATATGCAGTAATGTACATTGAAGTGTGCTCTGTATAGAATACTTGACCATGACAAAAGACACAGGCCTTACTCTTCTGAGACCTTTTTATTACCCTCAAATAAAAAGATGACTGAAACAAACACCAAACGCATCCTCTTCAGGAACCACAAGTCATACCTGGCTGGCAAGTTCTCGTGTTGGTGATATAATCAGGGCTCTGAAGCCTTTATTTGTGGGTTGTTTCAAGTGTATTAAAATGGGAATGCTAAAAGCCAAAGTCTTTCCAGATCCAGTAGGAGCAGAAGCCAGAAGTTCTCGACCCTATAAACAGAGTACATTAAGTACAAGAAAAAGTACATAAATTTTTCGGAGCCTGGTCAAATAATGCTACCAGCCATAAAAATAACAAATAAAATTACATCTAACAAATCCAATCATTATGTCCCCATTGCTCTTCTAATTTCTCCCATATCCGCTTTCCACCCCTGCCACCAACACCCCAATGGAGTTTCTGAGCACTGTCACTGAAGTCCATCTGAACTGGGTAAAGAATGTGGATAAGTAAGATTTGGATAATTCACAGCCTCAATTATTTCCATTATTTCAATTTTCTTTCCCACTAAACTTCTTATCAAAGCAAAATTACAAAACCAACTTTTTGTCCTGCTCAATCCCTAGGGAAGGTTTTAGTTATTAACAGAATGGCTGAAAGTAAGAAATAAAAACTGGCAATAATCTGAGTGACAATCTATGGGAAACAATCTTCAGAAAGTCAATGTGATTTGTTAAAGCTTTAAGCTAAAGTCATGACAGAAATAATCTTAAGTGAAAATTAAAAGCAAATTTATTATGAGTTAACATCATCATTCAAATGTATTCTCATTTCAGTTTCCAAAAAAAAATGAAAAGGACTAGTATGAATGAAATGGTACTTCGTAGCCTATGGCTACCAGAACTGAAGGCCACCTTGGTTATGTGGGGGAAAAAGTCAGTTCTCATCGCTACAAAATGAAACCTCAGAAAGAGTTAATTTCCAAACATCTAGGTTAACCCATACATCAATAGGTGGATATACAAATTGTAGTACAGTCTTACAACAGAATAATACTTGGTAACAAACTACTGCTATATGCAATATGGATGAATCTCAAAAATAGTAGGCAGAGTGAAAGAAACCAGGAATAAAAGAAGAAATAATGAATGATTACACTCATATGACATTTTGGAAGAGGCAAATCTAACATGACAACAGAAATCAGAACAGCGGTTACCTCCGGGCAGGAATGGGGTGAGGACAGAATGGAAAGGGCACAAGAGAATTTTCTGGGGTCATAGAGATGTTATACATCTTCATTGGGAAGATGGTTACATAGGGTATATATTGTTGAAACTCACTGAACTGTGCACTGAAAATCTAAGTATTTTATTATATAGAAAGTATATTTCAACAATAAAAAGTATTGAGAAAAAAAGTCAAGTTAGTACAAGAATTCTATATTTCTGAAATAGTTCCTGGGATTATAAACAAAATCATGAATAAACAAACAATATAGTCTCTAACCTCAGATTTGCACTAATTATATTGATCTTTTCCATTTACACTCTGGTAAAATGGAAAAAATAATCACTACAAATATACGATAGTGTAAAGTATAAGATTGATGCTGCAAGAAAAAGAACACTAAATATCACGGAGACTTGAATGGTAGGGGAGTGCTGGTAAAGAAAAAAGATCACATCTAGCTGTAGTGATCAACACAAGTTTTATGAAGGCACAGGCATTTGAGATGGACCTTAAAAGTAAGGGAAGGATTTCAATACGGGGAAGGCAAGGTAGAAAGGAAGATTTCAAAGACAAGAAAATGAGCAAACACAGGAAGGGCTGTTAGAGGCATTCTAGATCTTCATACTCACATGCAGCATCACTGGAATGGCTTGCATTTGGATTGGCGTAGGTACTTGGAAGCCTGCATCTAGAATATTCTGAAGTAGTTGAGAATTGATTTTATATTCCTGTTCAAGTTGCTGAAATGTAGCAATTGGGTCAGGAAGATCAGTTCCTTGGACGTGAATTTTGTGTTTATTCCGCAAGAAGTTTATCTGAAAAGTAAAATAAAATGACACCATGGATATGGTCAAATGCACTGTCAGATATTGTAAAGCAACAGTAGTTTCTAGATAAGCTTTAGTAGCCTATGGAATTTTTCTGTTAAATTCCAAGCCCCCAAAGATAGAAATATTAGGTACATTTCATGCCTTTTCGTAGAAAGAAGACATACATAACAATGAAACCTATCTATCCACACTTTCCTCATATTAATGCGTCGATGCCACGAATAATGTCTTATTCATATTAATGCACTATGTCCCAGCAATAACTTATAATCTCATTTAGACTTCTAGAAGGTAGACATTGAAGCCTTCTATTTTCTTTGTATGGCACTTAGCATACAAGTGTCACTGCTTTTTGATGATTTACCCTAAACTCTACTTATTAAAACTGAGTGCCAAAAGCAGAGTCAAGTGGTGTTGATTTGGTTTGTTTTCCCATTCTCTGATCCAGAAACAGTCAAATTCTGGATTCTGGGTTACTGAAGTGAGCTGAACAATAAATTCTTTCCATCATCAACACGGCAGATGTGCAGCAGATATGACAATGGTTTATTTGTTTGTTTCCAACTCCCCCTAGTCCCAAGTTATAAACTAGGCTTAAGAATTCTAACTCTCAAATCTCTGTCAGAGGAAATCTTTCTAAACCAGTGAGTTTAACAGAGAGGAGCAAGGAGGTCAATTTTATGTTTATAAAAAGAGGATAAGAAATTTTAAAAATTTAATCCTAACCTCATTATCAATCTTGAAACTTTAACAGGTCAAGAATTACATAGTATATACTATAAGAATAATGTCTATATACATATAAATAAGCAAGAATAATTTATATATTTTCATTCAAGTCTCAAAATTTTAAACTTAAAAATTTTCAGCCATAGCACACTTTGCTTTTTCATTAGAAATTTAAACTAATGTAATCAATCTTTCAGCTTAACAAAACCATATTCACTTTTATCAACAAAATAACCCAAGTCATTAGACCAGAAAAGCACTTGGGGCTGACATTTTTCTAACCTTTTCTTTTCTGAGATGCTCCAACTTTCCTGAAGTTACTTTATTTTCTCTTTTAACCTTTTTATCTTCAATCTTTGCTTCCACAGATGATATCCACTGTATAGTAGAACTTTCTTCCGAATTAATTTCTAAAACATATTATAAAAAATTAAAAGATTTTAAGTGCAACATTGTTGGGTGTAGCCCACAAGCCATAGCTGCACATTAAACAAAAGAAAATGTACTAGCTGCTGCAACTAGATAAAACAGGACGTATAAAAATTGGAAAAGGAGAGGTAAGTTCTAAGTTGGTAAAATCAGCACTCTGAAGCTCATCCTTTTCCTTTTATTAGTTATTTCAGCTATGTAATATGTAGACTGTATGCTTGAAAACACGGAGAGTAACTGAAACACTACTTAAACAAAAAGAGATTTCAATGAGGCAGCCAGCTTTTCCATATCTAAACAACAACCAACTAGAAAATATGATGAAAGGTAGAACAAAGATAAATATCCCTATGGTAGGGTACAGGAAAAAAAAAAAAAACAACCTGTGAAAAATAGCCAAAGAGTAAGATCAAATTCACAAAAGTTGAAATATAAATACCCAGTAAAGCACATGAAAAGATACTCAAGAAAAAATAAATAAAAGTTTCATTCATTAGATTGGCAAAAAACTTAAGACCAACAGTACCGAGCATAAACATGATGTGGGAAGTCATTTTGCAGTATCTATTCAAAGAAAGAAGTGTGCACACCTTTCACCCAGTGACTTCACTTTTGGAATGCTAATTACAGAACTAGCCCTATACAAAAGTATATATGTACGACAATCTTTATCGTAGTGATATTTGTTATGGCAAATACCTGGAAGCAACCTGAATGCCATCAACTGACAAATGACTGTTGATTGTCTGATTTGTAACCATAAGCTTACAGTTACTTTTGTAACTGAAAAAAATTGAGAAAAAAAAATTACACACTAACCTGAAGTCATCATCTTCCTCCTTTTCTTGTTCTGCTCTCTCTTCTTTTCAGTTAAGCTCTCTTCTTTCTTCTCTACATCTTGAATCTCCTGATGAGTTTTTGATCCTCCACACTCACTTGGGACAGACTTCTTGTTTCCAAAAAAGTCTAGTCCCTGCGGCACCTCTGAAGAATCAAAGTCATATTTCCTTTTTCCTACCTAAAACCCAAAAAATTTGAAATGAAATCTATGGACTGACTGGCATGGCTTTCATCCAAGCAGCACTGGCATAAGAACGTGCGTCCAATGTCTCCCCATCATTTTTACCCTTTCACCAGATATTTGTTGTGCTGACAAGTGTTTGGGCAAATGGAATCCAAGACAGTATCTTTTCGGACTTTATAACAGTAATAATGATAAACACCTAACACGTATATGCTTATCAGCCTAACATTTATATGCTGTCAGGCAGATTTCTAAACAGGTTTACATATATTATTTCATTCTTCAACAACCCTATGAGGTAAATAGCAATATTACAAACGAGACAATCAAGGCATTAGGTTAATTAACTTGATCAAGGTCTGAAAACTGTTAACTGGCAGATCTAGGATCTGAATCCAAATAATCTGGCTCCAGATTTCAAACTCTTAACTACATGATACCGCTAATGAAACACCCGTATCGCACGCGCATACTCATACATACATACACACACACACACACACACCCCTAGTCACAGTGTCAAGGTTTTCTATAGTTGGGTCCAAGCTAACTTCTCCCGATTATCACTCACTACTTCCCTATGTAAGATCCCACCGCACAATTTCTAAATTGTTCCTCACTGTTACTTAACATGCCGTAGGGTTGCGGGAATCAAAAGAACCATGCCCACTAAAGTTATATGCCAAGCCAAACCTGGGAACCTGGGTAACAACCGTTAAAGAATCTGTTCTATCCATGTCAAGTTGTTTCAGCTTCCGAAATTCCTTTCCACCAGTTTCAGAGAAAAAGGTGCTTTTGAAAGGATTACAATTATCCTTTGAATAAACTACAAGGCGCAGGGGAACGTCTCTCTGCCAGACCCAACTTAGTTTACAAAAGCATGGGGAAAGCATTAATGCAGAAGACCGGGTAGGTCTGAGAGTAACCTGAACGCCAAAGGAGGGAAAATGCCCCCAGAGCCAGGCCACGGTGTCGGTGTCTCCAAGCGTTGGGTACCCCAGCAGTCAGTTCGTTCTCTGGCTCCTGCTCCTTCTCAGTAATTCCGGACTCTGTCCTACGCACAGTACCTGGAATCGGGCTGCGTCCGCGGAGAAGCGTCTCAGGTCGAATTTGGCTCCCGCGCCCAGCCGGCAAAAGAGATCGTGCGCATCCATCTTTACCCAGAAAGCTCCGCGGTCCCCAAGCGCCTGCGCGGAGGACTTCTCCCAGAAGGTCTAGGAGGTGGGCGGAAGTGGCTCTAGGGGACGGAGCCTGGCGGTTGTGTGATGCTCGTCCGTTTTATTGTCCTGTTGTTATATATGTTACTATGTGTTATATTGTCCGTCATTATTTATTTGTCCTTCCAAAAACTGTTTATCAAGATTGTCTTATGCCTGCAGCTGTTCTAGACTTTTAGGGAAACTTAACTTTTTAATGGGAACAGAAGATTTTGTTAACAAAACAAGATAATTTCTGAAAGTGAAAAGTGCTGTGAAACAAAGCAGTGTAATTGGTAGAGAAAGGAGGAGCTGCTTTTAGGTAGATTATTCAGGTTCATTTTGATGACGTGATATTTGAGCCTTTCCCAGATAGAATAACATTCCAGATAGAAGAAACACATGTCTCACGAAGGGAAAAGTTTTAGAACACTGAGGAAATAGGCATGGTGACTGGAGCCAAGTTGCAGTGAGAAAGTGTAGTACAGAGAAGGTTGGAGGAACAGATAGAAACTAGATCTCATAGAGTCTTATAACAAGGTCATAGTAAGGAATTTGGACTTTTAATCTAGACATGCTGGGAAGTTTTCAAATACTTACTGAGAGCCACTCTAAAACTGCAAGAGATTTAGCTTATCACATTTTATATTTGTAAAATGAAGATCATGATACCTACCTGTTTCAGGATTGTTCTGAGGATTAAGCTAGGCTCATAGGCATTGGTGTGTAATGGAAAGAGCATGGGTTTTGAGTGTCAGAAAGACTTACATGTAAATCCAGTTGTATCATTTAATAATTTAGTAATCTTGGTATTTCACTGGTCTGTGCCTCAGTTTCCTCACTGGTAAAATAAGAATTATAGGATTATAATATCTACCTTTAAGGCTAGGAGTAATATTGTTCCCCACACAGAACTCAAAATGGTTGAAATGGGTCAGGGTTCTATCGATTTAATCCTAATATATGTAGGTTATAGTTACTGTATAAAGCATTTGAAACAAAATCTCAAGCATAGTAGGTGCTTAATAAGTATTAGTTCTTTTCCATTTTTCAGTCCATTCTCCTAGAACAGTAAGTAGTTCTTGACCCTAACCACACATTAGAATCCCCTGAGGAACTTAAAAAACAAAAGAAAACTGGATGTCACCCTCAGAAATTTTGACTTAATTGTTCTAGAGTACTTTCCTGGCCTGTAATTTTTGAAAGCTTCTCAAGTGATTCTAATTGCAGTCAGGATTGAGAGTCACTGTTAGAATTACCTTTCTAAGGTCCAAAGAGGACCATGTTGCTTCTCTGCTTAAAAACCTTTCATGATTCCGCATTGTCTACTGAATGTAGTCCAAGCTACTGGAACTTGTGTGCCAAGCCCTGAGCAGTGATTCTTAACATCTCAAGAAGTATGACACACTCTCATAAATACCTTCAGCTTGGGTTCAACTCCCTCCACCCCTTTTACTTACCAGCTATGTGATCTTAGGTAAGTTGCTTGTCTTCTCTAAGCTTTAATTTTATCATCTTATTTCAGCGTTGCTGCTTCTAACTATGAACCTTTGTACATATTTGTCTTTCTTCTTGAAATGTCCTCCCTGGCAAAATCCTTACGGTCTTCAAAACACAGTTTATATATCCTCTCCTCTGTGAAGCTTACCCACAATGTCCCCTGCCTAACATAGTCCATTTTCTTTCTCTGATTTCTCACGCCACTTTGTAAATACCTCCATTTTAGCCCCTTTCTTATTGCATTGTAATTATTTTTCCACATCTATTCTACACTAGATTTTGAGCTTTTCGAGGGCTGGGCCTGTATCCCATTTATCTTCATATTATATTTGCCCAGCATGGAGGCTGTTTCATAGTAAGAGGTCAATAAATCTTATTGAATTAATGAAGTGAAATAAAACAGACAAATCTTTGAAACTACCAATCTTGTCAATTTAGGAAAAGACCTGTGTCTTTTGCTTGGTATTTCGTAATAAACTTTGGCTGTATGAATGAATAAAGTCAAATAGAAACTGTTGTACTTATATCATTTTTTACCTTGACAATGTCCAGCTGAGCTGACTCATTAAGGGACCATTTCCTCTTTGGAACAAAACAAAACAAAACAATTTAAAACCTCGTCAATAAAAGTGGCAAGGAATTGAATCATGGGTTTGTATAACTGGAATGTCTCCAAAATCCAGTATTGTCTGACTGGTAGACACACATGATTTCTCAACTGTAGCAAGTAAGAACACAAAGTCTGTCTAACACTACAGTGGGATCTAGTTGGGATATCTTGTTGTTATGAACAGAGTAATCACTCCATACCCTAAAAGTATGGTTTTGAGACTCTTTTTCTCCCACTCCTTATCATTCAACAAATTTTGTTATTGTTTATACAGTGTGCTTGGCTAGGGCTTAAGGATGCAGAGGAAGATTAAGCACAGTCCTTTCTCTCAAGCAGCTTAAAGTCTAATAAGGGCAGAGAGCTCTTTTAAAACAGCAAGAAAAGTCTATAGACACTGTGGTACGAGTTATAGGAGGTAAGGGAGTGGTTGCTCTATGGTGGGCTGGGTTTTGTGGCAAGTTTGGAAAAGTTTGTAGTTTGTAGTTTATCAAGCTTACATACCATTAAAAATAAGATATTGAAAAATAAAGCAAGACAGGTAAAACTATTTTAAGTAAAGGGAACAGTATCAACAAATGTAAGGAGGCATGAAAAAAGCCTGTTGTGTTTGGGGATTTATTCGTGGTTCAACAAAGTTGAAAGCAAATAATGCAGCAAGAGATGGAGCTGGGACATGGAGCTCCCATACACTTTATGGATATACCAATGGGTTTGGACTTGATCTTGTAGGCACTAAGAACCATTAAAGGATGTTAAGCAAGTGATAGAAACTGTTTTTAATTTTAAAAGATCACTCTAACAGGAAAGTGGAAGGGAGGCAAGTCTCGAGTTAGGGAAACTGGAAGAATATTGCAGAAGTAGTCTAGTGAGGAAAGAAGGCAGTAGCAAAAAGGAAAGGGAGAAGGGAACAAATCTAAAGGACATGGAGGTAAAGTTGATAAGACTCCCTTAGTGATTGAATGCGGAAAGACCGGGAAATGGAGGAACCTAAAACAACCCCCAGGTCTCAAATTTAGGTGACTAAGTGAGGATAGTTCTATTCAGGGGGATGGGAAATGTTGGAGGGCTGGATTTGTATAAGGACAACATAATAAATTTAATTTTGAGTAGGTTGAGTTTGAGATTTCTGTGGGACACCTGAGTGGAATTTCTAATGATCATTTGGAAATAGGAATTACTTTTTCCTTGTAAAGAGAGCTAGAAACTTCTAGATCACAGCTTCAGGGTCTTCATTAAAATATAAGTTGAAGAGAGGGTGATTGGCTATAAATGTTTTAAAAACCTAGCAGTCATTTACTCTTAGACAAAAATCTCACTTTCCCTGGGGCTAAGTTTTCAATTTCAAATTCTCAAGATTCACCAATACTCTAGTAATTTAGAAATCCAAATCAAGTACTTAAGAAATCCAAATTCTTATATTTTTTGTACTTTAAAAAAATTTCTTTTTGCCTTGAAGAGTCAACAGAGTACACTTTTCAGGCTTTAATGTAAATAGTAGTGTAACTACTCAAATATTCTTGTAATCAGGACAGAACACAAGGAAATATCTCCAGGACCAAAACTGACCTCATGGTGGCACTCCAGTCTTGTTAGAATAAAGAGCTCTAGAATCACCTTACTAACCTCTAAGTGGACAGTCCACTTTGAAGTAGAGTTGGCATGAACTCTAGGTCCATAGATTCCACAATTAAAGTTCCTGGGGAGAATTTATGGGGAAGATACACTTAAATGTTTTTAAACAGACCTAAGGCTGGGTCAACAATATAGGTATATAAAATGGCAGAACATCTTCATCCAAAAAAGATATTTCATCAGGGTTCAAAACTAACCAAAATAATACCTTCATTATTTATTACTAGCTACCATTTATTGTCATATACTATATGTCAAATACAGTTCCGGGTACTTTTTATATTACATGAGCTCATTGAACCCTCACAACAACCCGATGAGATTGATAATTATTTTCATTTTTCTGAGGAAGAAATTGAGGCTCAAAGACACTAAGTAGCTTGTTTTTCAAATCATATAGGTAGTAAGTAGATTGCATTTTTAACCCAATCTGTGTGATTCCAAACCTTGAGCTATTTAAACAAGGCTGCATTGCCTCATATAATTGATACCAAGATTAAAGCAGTAACAAATAAAATATGGTTTTCTTTGGGTATAGACTATTTGGCATGACATGGTTTAAATAATACCTTATTTAAGGAGATCTAGTGAGGATCCCAATTGTGAATTTGAGGCCTTCTCTTGAACCAGTGTATGTACACAGTCACAAAGTATATCTCATAAGATATTTATTAATTACAAAGAAAAAAATAGAAAATCTATGGTGGAGAAATAGCAGACACAATGTTAACAAAATAAAATATAAATGATAAAACAAATGTAGTAAAATATCAATATTTGTGCCATAGAGAGATTTTTTTCCTTTTATAGTAAAAAAACAAAAAACAAAAAACAAAACCAAAGGGCCAGGGAGGATTTGTTGACATTATTGGTCAGCATGGAGCTTATCTTTGATCTCCATCTGTGAAAGCCCAAATCCCACAAAGGTTTCCAAATAAAACATTTACCTTTCTAAGGGGTAGAGAATTATTGGTGAAACCTAGACTCTATATAAAGGAAAACTCCCAAAAGAAAGACACAAATAATAAAACTCCAGAATAATGTTATTATACTGAGCATAGACTGTAGAGGTGGGAGTTAGTTGTCCTTACTCCTACAATGTTTAATTAAGAGTGTCAAATCATATTTAGAAAGCATTTTTTAAATGCCTTACAGACTTCAAAGCCATAAAGCTTCTCTGCATCTCCGAGAGTTAATGTCAGCATTTTGTTACTCTCAGCCCAAGATAATTACTAATCTATTTTTTAAAGAATTGTTCTTTTAGTGAGAAGGAGAAGAT